TGGGAAGGCCTCGTCATCACAGTGCGCAGGAAAGCCAGGCAGCCTGCCATTGTTGAACTCGTCAAGGCTGTCCACCAGAGTGGTGGTGGCGGTGGTGGATAGGTAGCCGGATCCAATCGGAGGCACCTTGTTGGAGCCAACGTCGTCAATGATCAGCTGGTCGGCGCTGTCAATGTCAGGCGGCTCCGAGCACCCGTTGGCAACGTTGAGCTTGGCGGCAATCAGCTGGTGTGCCAGCGCAACCAGGCCGTTGCCCTGTACGTAAGATGGTGGTGGCGCCGGCGGCAGCAAGTCAGCCGCCAGCTTGGCAGGCAGGGCAGCGGCAAGGTGTGCCGTGCACACCGCATCTCCAAATCGCACAAACCAAACCTCTCACCTGCACAGATCTTCCCAGTATACTCAGCAGCTCAGACTTGGTGTATGGTTTGGCACCCAGGGTGAGGGAGGCCACCGGCCACCTGCTTTCGTGGTTCTTCCAAAAGCCCTGGGTGTAGGTGCAGCCCCAGCCGGGAGGCGAGGGAGCGGGCGGGGTGGGGGAGGGCGGCCTCGCAGGGGGCGGGAGGGGAGCAGGAGGAGAGGGTTTTGGGGATGGAGGGAAGGGTGGTGAAGGCGAGGGAGGACGCGGGGATGGAGGGGTGGGCGGCGGCGGTCTGGGAGACGGCGGCTGTGGCGGTGTTGGGGAGGGCGGCCTGGGGGACGGCGGCGAAGGTGGAGGCAGAGGGGGTGGCTTGGGGGATGGCGGGGAAGGCGGCGAAGGCGGGCGGGGCGGCGGTGGGCTACACATTGGGCAGGGGGAAGGGCAGCTATGAGAGCAGGACGAATCACTGCGGCGGCAGCAGCGCAGCCCCAACGGCACGCCAGGTCGCTGCGCGGGCAGAGGGCGCGCCAATCAGATGTGTACCGGCAGAGCGTCGGGGAGCAGCCCACCTGTAGGTCATGCAGTCCAGCGTGCTCTTGTACTGGACCTCGGCCCCATCATCGTCATCCTCCGAGTCCCCATTATCGGAGCCGCCCTTGAGCTTATCCACTGCAGCACAGCGGGCCCAGGATGAGCAGGGCGTCACACAGCAAGCAACTCCAAACAGCATGCGGTGGCCACAGCAGCAGCGCAGCCAGCGGGTATCGCATGCTGGCATGATGCAATCAGCCAGCATGGGCAAGCAGCCGCCAGCCGTCGGCGGCTCACTGGCGGGGACGCCCCCTTCCCCCCCCTTGTGCGTAGGCCGGCCGCCCTGCATGCCTGCCAGCAACATCAACGGCAACGCACCCGTGCCCGACTGCCACACTTTATCCTCATCACTGTTCTTCTGAATGGCTACAGCGTTTTTGCTGTTGAAGGGGCTGTTGGTGAACAGGCGGCAGGCGCCATCCTTGCTTCGGAAGCTCCAAGCCTTGCACTTGTTGCTCGTCATGCAAGACTGCATGGGGAGCAGGCAGGGAAGCCGCCAAGGGGCGGCAGCTTCAGAGGCAGCTTCCCCGGCAGCTTTGCAAGCCAGCAGAACGTGTGCCAGTGGCGTGGGGCGGCAGCAGCCGGGTGCGGCGGCAGCAGCAGCGCCAGCAGCACGGAAGGCCACAACTACTTGCGGCAGCGTCCCGCCAGAGGTGGCAGCACCAGATGGCGGCAGCGACTGCACACGTTCCCGGCTTGCACACACAACCACGAGCGCACCAGAGGCAGTGCAGCAGCATCGGCAGCAGGCAGCCATGCAGCAACAGCACTCCAGTGGCGGTGCCATCCACCCCAAACACACATGCAGCCTGGCGTGGCGGCAGCAGCAGGTGCCTGATGCGCACCACCGAAATGCGCAGCCAGCACCCGCAGCCACCACCCGTTGCCACACAACAGCAGGCGCAGCCGCCACACAACATGCTGCCACACAACAGCACCCGCAGCCGCCACACAACATGCTGCTGCTGCAGTGGCACCGCGCACGCCCCCAGCAGCAGGGCGCCAGCCGCGTCACCCCGGCGGCGGGCAGCGCACCGCCCCGGCCCCGCTCGCCTGCTCGTTGGGCTGCGCGCGGCACAGGTCGCAGCAGGCGCAGGCGGTGCGGTTGCGCTCCCCCAGGATGGGCCACTTGTACTCCCCAGAGTCGGGGGTGGCTGCCAGCTCAGCCAGTTGCACTCCCTGGTAGAACAGCGTGAAGCCCTTGCCATCCTCGTAGTTGAACTCGGCGGTGTTGGTCTTCTCCTTGTTGCCGCTGTTCTGCTCGACCCACAGGCCCACTCCCCAGTCGCGGCACACGCGCTGCTTCTTCCAACCTGCAGGAGCGGGGAGGGGTCGCCCTCACACACGGTCGTGTGTGTATGCATGCTCGGGGGGCCGCCAGCCTCGCCTGCGCCCTGCGCCACCATGCACAGCGCGCAGGCTTGCCACCCACTTGCTCCTAAGAGGGCGTATGTTTCCTCGCTGTCGCCACTATCCACTTTGCTGCTGCTGGCCAGGAGGGAGTCCGAGGACTCCACTGCAGGCATCCGAGGGAGGTGCGGGCAAGTCAGCGGCGGCACCGTGGGTGGCGGCAAGCCAACCCTTCCCCTGCAGGCGGCGGCGGCCCCAACCTGTGCCATCTACGGATTCAAGGGCGACTTGTGCTCTAACCAAGGGGACGGCTGCAGCAGCAGCAGGAGCAAGTGCAAAGTTTGGGCATGTGGGGGAGCGGCAAGCCCCCGGCACCCTGCTGTGTTGTTGTCATAATCCAGCCGATGTTGCTGCGCTGCTGGGGCGCCAGGCCGTGCCGGCCCCCTTGCGTGGCACATTGCGAAGGGGTGGGAGGGACGCTGCCCGCGGTTCGGCCTTGCCGACCCCCAATTCGGCATGGACCGAGCTGCCCACCTGCAAGCAGCAGCGCCAGCAGCAGACAGAGGCGCAGAGGCGCCTGGTGTCCGCCGTGCGGAGCCATGCCGCTACTGCAGTGGCATGCGGTCACAGATTCAAGATGTGGAAGCGGACCCAAGCTTTTGCTGGGTGGCGCTGAGAGCGCTGGGCATGGGTCCATCGAAGCCGCCACGTGGACACCAAGGACGGGCGCTCCTTGTTTGACGCTTGGTTCAGGCGGGCTGCGCGTGGAAGATGCTCAAGGGCATTCTAGATACGCGGTGTGAGCCACAAACCTCATAACCAGCCCGCCTACCGCGGGCGGCGGCTACTTGCCCCCACCGAGCCAGACGGGGCAACTTCGCCTCCCCTGCCGCCCCACACATCCTGCCCCCAACTCCCATCACGCTCACGCATGCAACGCAAGGTTTCCCAGCCATTGAGTGAAACCTTGGCGGGAGGGGCTCCCGCCCACAGTCCTGTCATGTCATGCATGGCTGCCCCAGCTGCACTTGCTGCACTCCCACCCTCCGCAAACGGCAAATGCAGCGCCTGCAAGCCGGTGGGAGGCGGGCGGGGACCAAGCGGCCATCCTGGCCTTAAAGGCCTGTTGGCCGGCACTGCCCGTGGCGCTTGGCAGGGTGGCCTGCCGACCCCGCCGCATGCTGTGCCCCGGCTGGGGACTTGCACAGTGCACGACAGGGTTCATCACAGGGAAAGCATGTGAGGCTGACAGGAATCTAGCGGGGGGGCTCCTCGTTCCGCCTGCGCGTGCGTGCCGCCCACGCCCGCTGCGGCGTGGAGCAGGCGACTCCCCAGCAGCGCTGAGCCGGTTACGCCTTTTAAAACCAGCAAGGCCAGGGATAGTATGACACCAAGCAGCAACGCCACTACATCTTCGCGTCGCCTCTCCTCACAAGGAGGCTGCCCCGCCGCCAGCTCAGCTCACCCCAAGCCACTCCTGCAACTGGTATCAGCCTCCAGCCTTGCGAGGGGCCTGGAGCTGCATCAGCCCGCCCACCCTCAGGCCTGGAACTTGATGGGCTCCCCCGTGTCTGGGTCCATCATCAACACTTCCACCAGGTCGGGGAACTTGTCCCGCACCGCCGCCCGCAGGCCGTAGCCAATGGCCTCTGGGCCCTTGTAGTGCAGCGTGCACACGCCCTGCGGCGGCGCGGGCAGGGAGCGGCGGGGCGTGGTGGACAGGGGGTGGCAGTGGCGGGGGAGCCGGGAGGGAGGGGTGGCTGGGGAGGGGTTGGCGGCGGGGTGGCCGAGGGCAAGGCAGGGCGGAGGGCCGAGGCTGCTCCAGCAGCAGCCCCACACGCAAGCCGCCCACGGCACGGCCAGGAAGGCAGGCCAGCCCTGGCCTGCGCCGCCCACCAGCCCGCCCCACGCACCTGCTCCACGCCCACCACCTCCACGCTGCCGCCGTACGCGCCCACCGCGCCCCGCAGCATGTTGAGGTGCATGTCCACGCCCTCGGCGGTGGCGCGGTTGTCCTCCTGGCCGCCCACCTGCAGAGGCAGGGGGAAGGGGAGAGGGGAGGGGAGGGGAGGCAGCGGGCCAGGCGGCAGGGCGGAAGGGCCACGGGTCAGGGAGAAAGGAGCCTGGTGTGTGGGGCCAGTGTGGAGGGGCTTGCGAGACGTTGGGTGGCTGCCAAAGTGGTAGGCGTGCGGGCCCCGCAAGCCGCCGAGGCCCACCCCAGCCAGCCACCCGCATGCACCACTTGCGGCACCTCTCCACCCACTCTCCCATTCTCCCGTCCCCCACTGCCGTCCAGCCACCACAACCAGCCACCCCACTTGCCCAGAAGCACGCCCCACCCACACCCACACCCACCTGCAGCACCTCCACCAGCTGCTTCCCAAACGCCGCCTTGAGGCTGCGCTCGATGCCCATCTTCATGGTTGCTGTGGAGGAGGGGCAGGTGCCGCACGCGCCCTGCGGCAGGAGGAGGTAGGCGCCGGCGGCGGCAGCGTGCGTGTGGGTGTGGGTGCGGGGTGGAGGGAGGCTGGGCGGCGTGTGCAGCAGCAACCGTCGCGGCTGAGGCTGTGGGGCAGCCCTGCAGTTGAGGCTAGAACACAGGCCCCCTGCCAGTGCCCCTCCCTCTGCCTACACACACACACAGACATGGTCGCACAGCAGCAGCGTCGCCACCGCGCCGCACCTGCAGCTGTAGGAAGACGCGGCCATCCTCCACCGCCACCACATCCACGTTGCCGCCGTCGGCAATCAGGTAGGGCCGCACATCGTCCAGCGCGGCATCCACCGCCTCAACCGTCATCTCCAGGGGCCGGCCCGCCTCGCCGCCGGCGCCCGCCGCCGCGCTGCTGTTGCCCACCGCCCGGTGCACCGAGGCGCGGGCAAAGGGGGTGACGATGGGCGGCGCCGCGGCGGGCGGCGCAAGGGCCTCACCGCCCGCCTGCTGTGCCTGCTGCCGCGCGCTGCCGACCTGCAGGCGAGCCACCGAAGAGGCGGGGTGTTGCGTGACGAGCAGCCCGTTTGTAACGGTGAACCGTCCGCCGCCATCTGCCCCCTGCACGTGCCCGCCCGTCCCTGGGCTGCCCACACACAGAAACACGCGCACACACACACACAACACACACACAAACGTGCACACCCAACCTGCCACACACACACACACACACGCGCGCGCGCCCCAGGCCCGCACCTCCCCGCTCACCACCGCCTCCGCCGACTGCTCCTGGATCACCTCGGACCAGTCGTCGCCCTCCACCGCCGCAATCAGCTTGAGGCGGCGGGTGCGCGAGTCCTCCGCCTCTCCCGCCACATCGTCGTGCAGGTTCTCTCCCATGGCCTGCAGGGAGGGAGGTGGGGTGGTGGTGGTGGTGGTGGTGTGCGTGGTGGTGGTGTAGGCAGGCAGGCAGGCGGGCAGGCAGGCGGGCAGGCAGGCGGGCAGGCAGGCGGGCAGGCAGGCAGGCAGGCAGGCAGGCGGGCGGGCAGGCAGGCAGGCAGGCAGGCAGGCAGGCAGGCAGGCAGGCAGGCAGGCAGGCAGGCAGGCAGGCAGGCAGGCAGGCAGGCAGGCAGGCAGGCAGGCAGGCAGGCAGGCAGGCAGGCAGGCAGGCAGGCAGGCAGGCAGGCCACAACACACACACAGCACAGCACAGCACAGCACAGCACAGCACAGCACAGCACAGCACAGCGCCCACAGAACCGCCACACATACACACACACACACACACGCACACAGCACAGCCCCCACCTTGCGCAGCTTCAGCTTGCGCTCCTCGTACTGCGCCAGCTCGTCGGCGCTCATCAGCGACACATCCACGCTGGCGCCGCTGGCGCCCACGCCCTGCGCCCACAGCTCCGCCTCGGCGCCGTTGCCTGCGCTGGGGGGAGAGGGCGGTGGCGAGGCGGCGGCGGTGGTGAGCTGGAGAGAATGCAGGCAGCTTGCCAGGTGGCGGCCTCGGCACCGCCCGTCCAGGGCCGCGCCTAAGCGGCAGCGCCACGCAAGCACCCAGTGCGGGCCGCCCTCCAACAGGCCCCTGCCGCCCTACCGCTGCCGCGCTCCCCGCCCTGCCGCCCCGCCCCGCACTCCCTGCTGCCACGCCACACGACCGCCCACCTGGCGGCAGCGTGCCCGCCTCCGCCAGCCAGTTGTCTGCCTCGCGCTGCAGCGCCGCCCGCGACTGCATCGCCTTGTTGGCAAACACCATGACGCGCACCCAGGCGCACCGCTCCTCCCCCACGCGCGCCAGGTGCGCCTGCGCGGGCAGGGGGGCGAGGCAGGGGCCGCACCGCTTCGCCTCTTCTCGCTCTGTCGCACGCGAGCGGCGGGGCGGGGCGCTCGGCAGAGGGCCAGGGAGCCCACGCCCCCGCCCACGCACCTCCACCACCGCCAACACCGCCCATCCCTCTTCACACGCACACACTCGCGCAGCCGCCGCGCAGCCCTCACCTTGACCGCCAGCACCACGTTCCGGGCGTAGCCCACGTACTGGAGGTTGCGCTTGTCGTCATAGAGCGCATACACGCCCACCGGCTTCTCGCCCTCCCGCGCCGCCACGTACCCCGCGGTGGCCAGCAGGCTGCAGCCGTCGTCCTCACCCTGCAATCAAGGTCGTGCAAGGCCCAGGGTTTGTGTGACGGGGTGGTGTGTGGGGGTGCATGCAGGGCACGGGTCGGGTCTCGGGGGTGTGACGGCTGTGGGAGGAACAGCCTGGGTGGTGTGGCGCTGGCCACACCGGCCGTGGGAGACCCAAACGTGCAGCTTTGGCGCTGGCGCTGGTGGCGGGTCCCACACTGGCACTGGCAGCCCTGCAGCAGGCCCTGCCGCCGCCAGCCCGGCGCTGCGCCCACCTCCCGAAACGTGTAGCCGATGCCGCCGTCGTGCGCCTCTGCGCCGCCCTCGCCATACAGGAAGCCGTGCAGGCCCTGGTGGCCCTCGGGCACCGCCGCATCCGTCACGGGCCCCGCGGGTGAGGTGGGCGCGCCGCCGGCGTGAGCGAGAGGTGCGCGCCGCCTGCCGCCACTGGCGCCGGTGCTGGGCTGGGGACGGCCCGGGCCTGGGCGCAGCGCCGCGGCGCGTCTATGCGACCCTAGGGATGCTCCTGGGGGAGAGGGGCCCAGAGAACGGGCGCTCATGCTTTGCGCTGTCGGGGAAGGCTTTGGCTGAGGTGCGCTCGTCGTCAAGTGCCGCGGCGGATCCTCAGTACCCAGCGCAATTGTGAGCCCTTGGCGCCTCTGATCCTGCACCAGTGCAAAGATATCGGTGTCCTGCGGAGCCTGAATTGCCACGGGGGCAGGGGCCTTGTCGTGGCGGGGCCCTCCACAGCTTGCATGGTTATTTCACCATTGTGCATCGCTGCTAGCGGCGAGTGGGAGACTCAGGCAGCACATTCTCGACGACATGCGGCGGCAGATGGGGTGGTTGGCCCCCATCTTGGTCTGCCTGCTTGTCAGCACGGCGGCGGCGCGCAAGCTGCATGCCATTGACTGTGCCGCGGCGGAGAAGGAGTGTAGTAAAGTTAGCTGCGACGGCAAGTGCTGGGGGAGAAGGGGCTGCTGCTGGCTCACGTCCCACAGGCAGCATAATCTAGCGAAATGGGGGAATTGCGAGCCCAGGCATCAGTGGGGCCGCTGCCAAAGCCCCCAAATGGTCTGCCATTGGCGGCTCTCCTGCCCCTCGGCCACCTGCCGCCGGGGCCGCATAAAACGCACCAAACCCGTAACCTCTGGCCCCGACCATTGCCACTTGTTTACAGGCGTGCTGAAGACGGAGTGCGACGCTACGACGGGAAAGGTGGAGTGCCTGTGCCAGAGCGCGGGCCTGGCGTCGTGCTTCCCCGGCGCGGCCACGGTGACGGTATCCACTGGCGCCGCCAAGCCGCTAGCGGCGCTGGCTCTGGGCGAGGAGGTGCTGGCGGTGGGCTCTGATGGCCGCCTGCGCTACAGCCCAGTTGTCATGTTCAGCTCGCGGCGCCCGGCCCAGCGTGCCGCCTTCGTGCGCGTGCACACCGACGCCGGCCTCAACATCACGGGTGGGCCTCGGGGAGATGCTGCTGCGCCGTGTGTGCGGGGCTGCTTGGCTGGGTGTTGGTAGGGAATGCGAGGGTGGTAGGGGAGATCCTGCATGGCTGGGGGCAGGCAGGCAGGGTACACAGCCAGCACGCTGCATGCATGGCGCATACGGGGGCCAGGCATGCCGCCTGCCACACCATCATATGGTGTCCAGCCACCCTCAAACATATGACATTGACGCTTCCCATCCCCCTCCATCCGATTTTTTCTGCTGCAGCAACTCCCGGCCACTACCTGTTTGCTTGGAAGGCGGCAGCGGCGGCCACGGCCCGGGCCGCGCTGTCCCGCCCCGCCTCCTGGCCCTATGTGCTGCCCACCCAGCTGGAGGTGGGGGACCTGGTGCCGGTGGCGGGAGCTGCGGCAGCGGCGGGCGGCGGCGGCGGCAGGCCACTGCTGGCGCGCGTGACTGCCATTGACCGGGTCATGGAGGATGGCGTGTACATGCCGCACACCCTCACAGGTGGGTCCACGGGCTAGCTGGATGTAGTTATCAAGTGCACGCGCACGATGCGTGCCCAAGGTGGTGTGTGGGTGATGAGGAAGGATGCGGCATCTGCACAGAGTCCCCTTTGCTTGCCCACTGTCCATGTCCCCGCCCTGTACCTGCAGGCGCCATCGTGGTGGACGGTGTGGTGGCCTCTGAGCTCACCAGCGTGGTGCCGCCGGCGCTAGCGGGCGCCGTGTTCCAGCGCGGGATGGCGGCGGCCCTGCGCGCGGCCTGCACGCTGCTGCCGCCGCACTTGGTGGAGGCCGCGGTGCGTGGTGTGGCCTCCTGGGCACACGGCACCCCCGACGCTTCCATCAGCCATGCCGCGATGGCGGCCTCGGGGGCGTCGCGGGCGTGATGATGTGGCTGCTCGCCCGACGGCGTCGCACAGAGCTGAACCAAGCTGCCTGTTCGCTGCTTGCCTGGAAACTGCATGCTTCTACGTATGGGGGACCAGACTCAATGGCATTGACTAGTGTAAGAATCCTGGTTGCGGGCAGTCGGTTTTTTTTTATTCGTGACGGCACATGGCCGCCATGGCACATGGTCGCGGCGACTGTGGTGATGTGGCATCAGTCAATGCGCACCAGTCCTTGTGCTTGGTTCAATGGCCAGCGCCTGTCGATCGCCAAGCAAGGC